GTCCAGTTGCCTTTTGGGGGGAAAAAAGCACCTTTGGGACAATTGAAGGTGTTGTACCTATTATCTGCAGACCCTTATAAGGTGTGGGAAAAGATTCCTGAAGTATTGCCTCCACTGACACCTCTCTTTTTAAAAAAAAAATCATTTTTTAAAGTTTTATACAGCAACAAGACAAATATAGAAGTATATAAAGAAAAGAAGAAAAAGAATAAAGATATAGAAAAGAATACACTTAAAGAAACAAAAAAGATAGTTGAAAAAGCAATTTCCATGCTTTACAGGAGTTACAAACTCATTATCCTCCCCTCATTAACATTACAATAATCCCTTCAGTCCCTTACTTGGTCTTTTTCCAATGTCAAATCCAGAAATCACCATTTCACTTTTTTCCATTTTCAGCAAAAAGTCTACAAAAGGTTTCCAGTCTTTTGTAGAAATACTTATTGTTTTATTCCTGACCAAACAAGTCAATTTTGTCATCTCTACTAGTCCTGACATCTTCACAGTTCATTTCTCCACTGTAGGTATGTAATCTTTCTGCAGTTACCATATATAATGAAATCAGTCTTCCACACATCTTTTCTAATTGACCATCCATTAGTCCCAATAAAAAAGTGTTCTGGCTTCATCTCAATATTAATCTTCAAAATTCTTTGAATCATCACATATATTTGTTTCCATTTTTATTTACTCTTTTGCTTTTTCACAAGTCTACCATGCATGTTTTTTTTACATTTCCAACAATAACTAAAACATCTTTACTGTCTACCTCTTAGATATTTTTTCCTATACCTCATCTGATTCTTCTCTGAGAAGAGTATATGTTTAAGAAGCTAAAAGGTGGGACAGGGCACAATTCTTCTTTAGATTAAGAAATTTTGACCCATAACTGGCCTCATTTAACATTAATGGTGATTTTATAAGATACTAAGAGAATAGCTAGAAGAGACAAGAATACCTTCTTAAATGAACAGTGCAAAGAAATAGAAGAAAACAACAGAATAGGGAGGACCAGAGATCTCTTCAAGAAAATTGGAGATATGAAGGGAANGTTTCATGCAAAGATGGGCATGATAAAGGACCAAAATGGCAGGGACCTAACAGAGGCAGAAGAGATTAAGAAGAGGTGGCAAAATTACACAGAAGAACTATACAAGAACGAGCTTAGCGTCCCTGATAACCACGATGGGGTGGTCACTGACCTCGAGCCAGACATCCTAGAATGTGAAGTGAAATGGGCCTTAGGAAATCTGAGCAACAACAAAGCTAGTGGAGGTGACAGTATTCCAGCTGAGCTATTCAGAATCTTAAAAGGCAATGCAGTAAAAGTGCTACACTCAATTTGCCAACAAATTTGGAAAACTCAACAGTGGTCACAGGATTGGAAAAGGTCAGTTTACATTCCAATTCCAAAGAAAGGCAATGCCAAAGAATGTTCAAACTATCGCACTATTGCACTCATTTCACATGCTAGTAAAGTTATGCTTAAAATCCTACAAGCTAGACTCCAGCAGTATGTGGATCGAGAACTATCAGAAGTACAGGCAGGATTTCGAAGAGGCAGAGGAACTAGAGATCAAATTGCCAACATACGCTGGATCATGGAGAAAGCTAGGGAGTTCCAGAAAAACATCTATTTCTGCTTCATTGACTATGCTAAAGCCTTTGATTATGTGGATCACAACAAATTATGGCAAGTTCTTAAAGAGATGGGAGTACCAGACCATCTTATTTGTCTCTTGAGAAACCTATATGTGGGTCAAGAAGCAACAGTGAGAACTGGACACGGAACCACTGATTGGTTTAAAATTGGGAAAGGAGTCCGACAAGGCTATATACTGTCACCCTGCCTATTTAACTTATATGCAGAGCACATCATGAGAAAGGCAGGGCTAGATGAATCAAAAGTTAGAATTAAGATTGCCGGGAGAAATATCAACAACTTAAGATATGCAGATGATACCACTCTAATGGCAGAAAGTGAAGAGGAACTAAAGAGCCTCTTGATGCGAGTGAAGAAGGAGAGTGCAAAAGTTGGCTTGAATCTCAACATTAAGAAAACCAAAATCATGGCATCCGGCCCTCTCAATTCCTGGCAAATAGATGGGGAAGAAATGGAGGTAGTGACAGATTTTATTTTCCTGGGCTCCAAGATCACCTCAGACGGGGACTGCAGCCAAGAAATTAAAAGACGCTTGCTCCTGGGGAGGAAAGCTATGGTAAATCTAGACAGCATACTAAAAAGCAGAGACATCACCCCCAAAAGTGCGTTTAGTCAAGGCCATGGTTTTCCCAGTTGCAATGTATGGATGTGAAAGTTGGACCATAAGAAAGCCTGAGTGCAAAAGAATTGAGGCCTTTGAACTATGGTGCTGGAGAAGACTCCTGCAAGCCCCTTGGACTGCAAGGCGATCAAACTGGTCAGTCCTAGAAGAGATCAACCCCGACTGCTCTTTAGAAGGCCAGATCCTGAAGTTGCAACTCAAATACTTTGGCCACCTAATGAAAAGGAAGGACTCACTGGAGAAGGGCCTAATAAAATCCCTTCACTGGGAAAGATTGAGGGCAATAGAAGAAGGGGATGACAGAGAATGAGGTGGCTGGATGGAATCACTGAAGCAGTAGGTGTGAACTTAAATGGACTCCAGAAGATGGTAGAGGACAGGAAGACCTGGAGGAACGTTGTCCATGGGGTCGCGATGGGTCAGACACGACTTCGCAATTAACAACAACAACAAGAAGAAGACCATTCATGGTTATTCAGTTGCATCTTTATTTATTCTCCCCCCCCCATATCCCATTGTCTTATATCGTTGCTCTAGTTTGTTTTGTTTACTATTTGTTTTCATTTCTGTGTATATTACAGTAGAGTGTATCAAACTTTATTCTATGGAACCCTACGATTCTATGAGAACTTGCTGAGCTCTGTGGGAAACTAAGAACAAAGACAAACATTCACCAACTTTTCTATCATTACAGCTTTGCCTTTTGATGAGGGGTTCCAGAACTAGTTTCATAGTTGAAAAAGTTTGAAAACACCTTTATTAGGGTATGTTGTAAATGGCTGTCATGATTCATCTTAGAAGTTTCTGCATCAAAAAGTAATTGAGAGAAATTTCAAATGAAGAAATATAAAACCACTGAAAGAAAACTCACCTCTACATTTTATTACTAAGAATTTTGTTGAAGTCTTCCTAGCTAGTGATTGTGCAAACGGAAGTCCAACACATTGGGAGAGCAGCAAGTTAAAGAAATCTTACTAGCTGTCAGGCACTTTTGGGATTTTGTTTTATGCTAGGCAACATTATGATACAACTAGGTTGTTATTAATGGGAGTTCAAATAAAACAATATTTGATTTAGTACAAATTACAGAATAATACCAGGGCTCATTTAATGTTTCCTGATTACCAACAGGGTTTTTAGACCCTGCTACTTCTGTCTGCATTTGTTTATCTTCGGATATGGAAAATTGGCCAAGCATGATAGAAACACTACTGCACTAGTGTAAATAAAAAAAGAGGCTCATTATTACATTAGAGTAAAAATTTGATGTGGTTGAATGACATAGCAACCCTGAAGTAGGAGATGGTGTCAGAATGCCTATATCTATGGTACAATATTTTGTTTTTATTCTGCTTTTTATAGCTACTTTGACTTTGTTAACAATAAATTTAAATTATAAATATATTCCTCCTGTTGCTTACTAAAGATTTTATTAATGGGTTTATCACAATTTATGCTTAAAATGTTCATTGCCTATATCAGGGGTAGGCAACCTTGGCTCTTTTATGACTCATGGACTTCAACTCCCAGAATTCTGGGAGTTGAAGTCCACGAGCCATAAAAGAGCAAGATTGCCTACCCCTGGCCTATATCTGTCAAGCTGGAACCAATTGCCACATTTTAGATATCAATAAAACTTCAAATAGTGCAAATGTGAATAATGCAAACATTTAATGCAATTCATTATCTGTTCTAATTGAGACCTAGTTGTACTGTCTTATTTTTATTGAAATGAGTTTACTTGTTTAAGATGAATTCAGGATTACCAAATACCAGTTTGGTCAAGTGCAGGGGTGTCAAACTGCCAGCCCTTGGGCCGGATGCATCATGCCAAAACCGTACCCACCCCATTGCCGGCAATGGGAAAAAAGTCACGATACGTCACGACACATCACATGATGTCTCAAGTTTGACACCCGTGGTCTAGTGGTTAAAGGGCTGGCCCAGAAACCAGGAGATTGTGAGTTCTAGTCCTGCCTTAGGCATGAAAGCTGGCTAGGTGACTTTGGGCCAGCCACTCTCTCTCAGCCTAAAAGTAATAAAGGCAGGATTAAAAATCTACTGAACATATTTAATAAATAAATGTCACCATGATGGTGGAATGTATGCAAAATGGGAAAATGTAAAATCAGGTAATGTTTTGGTAACAGTTAAAACTCATATAAACAGTGAGCTGGAATCAGCACAGGAACACTGTTGTTATCTTTCTAGTAGCCTGGATTTTTCTGAAATATGCATACTAGGAACTTCAAATGGTGCTCTTCAGATATGGCCCATAAGTTCACAAGCAAGAGGATGTCGGATGGGCGGGGTGAAGGCATTTTTTTTTCTCCTCCTCGCCGTGGCGGCGAAATTCAAACCGGAGAAAAGACTTCCCGCTACATTTCCCAGCCAGTAAAGCATTGCCCTTCCTCTTGCAGTTGAACTGACCCATGGATGTCCAAGCGTTGTTTTGATCCCGCGATCTTCTACGATCCGCCTTCCTTCTCAAAGAGGAATAACGCTCTGCTATCATTTCAGAGAGCTTTTTTTTTATTTTAAGGGGAGGAGGAAGCGGCTGTGGGAGGCGACGTCAACCAACGCATTGTTAAATGCCCTTGTACGGGAGGGTGGAACCGATTTTGCAAAGCGAGACTGAGAGAGAGAGAGAGAGCGTGCAGGGGGCAACGACGCTATGGAGCCCGGCCCAGGCTACGGGGCAAGAAGTGGTCCGCCCTGCTGCCTCTGACGCCGCCCTTCGCGGGGGTCTAGTGGGGAGAGCAAGTGCCATGCTAGAGCCCCGCGAAGGCTCTGGGCCCCCGCAGCAGGTGTCCCTCCAAGAGGGCTTCCGCGATCCCGAGCGGCACCAGCGCTGGGCCGGCCTCTTCGAGCAGCTAGACACCAACAAGGATGGGCGAGTGGATATCAACGAGCTTCGCGAGGGCCTGGCGCGAATGGGCATGGAGGCCAGCCCCCAAGCCGAGCAGGTCGGTGGAGGAAGGCAAGGCTGGACGGAACACCGTTCGGCGGTAGATAGATAAGTAGTCTGCTGCCAAGCAAAGAGGCGGCACAGATGGGGCTTGACATTGGGTGGGATTACTCGAGCCAGCTTCTAGGCGCCCCGGGCTTCATCCGTACTACATCTGCAGAATGGCTCTGCAGTCCCCCACCACCACCACCCAGCTCCCCCAAACCGCCTCTCGGCTCGGCTTCCCTGCCTCCCTTTTCAGTTTCCTTGAAGCTGCAAAGGCGGCGCCTGCCCACAAAAAGAGCCTGCGGGGAGCTGGCTCTGCGGGGGCTTGATTCCACGCGTGGGTGCTGGGGAAGGATCTCTTCTCGGGCGCCCAGCCTTCCGAAAGGAAACCCATAGAATCCCTTCGCACGCGCCGGATCCCTGCATACAGTAACAAGGTTCGTTTATGAGTCAGCCTGGGGCCAGAAAAGCCCTCGGCACCACCACCCCCTCTCCATAATCGGGAGAGGCAAGTAGAGTAGCTAAAAGCTGAATTATAGAAGGGCCAGGTGCTTGGCTTTTAGGCCCGCTGTGTGGTTATTAGATAAGTCCGTCTTATAAGAGGCAGCTCTCTCGGGAGGCCGGCGCCGAAGGAGAGGTTTTCATCACGTTTTAGTAGTGGGAATTTAGATGGCTTCAGTTCCTCACCCCGGTGATAAAATCTAATTCAAGTCCTATGCAGAAGTCCTTTCTTTCCTTCCCCTCACCCTGAGAAACACATGTTAGGGCATAGGCAAGTTTGTACAGTTGATGTATTGCAGAGTTTTTATTTGGGCCCTCAGGCCAGTCCTGAGAAGCACATTCTTGCAGCAATAAAGGGTCTATGCCGTAAAATGCCTGCATTAAGGTAGCCCAACCAATTCCACATGCTCAGAGTTAGAAGCAAGATACTGGCATTCAGCTGCTGTTCCCTTTAACCAGGCTTCTTAGAACTGGGCTGTCCTCAGGAAACTTATACAGCAACAGCAGTATTACTCCAAAACCAACAAGGCGAACTGTGACACTTAAATACTGTAGTGATATAAAAGTATAAATTTGGCAGCGGTGTAGACCTAGAAGAAAAAGATAAGCAGTGGGGCCAGTAGCAACAAAATCCAAATAGCATTGCTCACTTAAAATAAATGCAAATTAGCAAAGTAATCATATTCCCTGGATGATTTTTCTGGCTGCTGAGGACAGTAATGAAAATCCTCTGCAAGCACATGCTGAAAGTTATAGCCCAGTCCAGGAGGCAAGGGAAAGGCTCTTTGAATGGAAGTATCCACTCACCAGATTAGTGGTGATTTTAGGTAATTGTTATCATTATTACATTAATATTTAGAGCTGTGGGACTAAGAAATAAAAAAGGCTGTTCTCTTGCAATGGAACTCTTTGGAAAGGTGCATGTATTCTGAGATCTTTGCCTTTCCACAGTGGCTATTTTCACTCAGGACAGTTTCACAGTTTTGTCTCTGAACTTGTACAAAGTGCTGTTGACACAAGTTCTTTGATTGATCCACAGTAGCCCTGTAATGAGGTTGCTTGATCACGGGTAGATTTACTTATTTTGATAGTGGTTCGTTGAATATGCTTCAGGGGCTGTTTATTTATTTTTATGAATGTTTTATTAATGTTCTAATTTTACAATCATAAATATTTAATAAACAATGTGTTGTCTGGGTCCATTAGTAATTCAGTGGTACATATTAACTTCAGTCTAGGTCCAATATTACATCATGCAATGCTTCCTCTCTTCTTCCAGTAGCACACATTCTTATTGTTGTTAATACATATACAGTTGAATATCAACATCCTTGTTACATTTTTCAAATAATATCAGTAATATAAGTTTAGAGTATCTTTTCTAACCAAAACCTCTTAATTGCTTTTGCACTTAATATCCATTTGTTCAATCATTGTCCTGTTTTTCTGCTTTTTTATTTTTAATTTCCCATCAGAGTTCAAAATGTCTCTATCACTTATATTTTCTCATAATAGGTTATATTTGGGTAATCAAAGGCTTCCCTTAGTCAAACCCTCTTAACATTTTCATATTTACCTTCTCATATCAAAATATAATATTCTAATTATAAATTCTATCTTTCTAGTTATATTAATACTTCTATTTCTAAAAATTATCTATTCTCAGCCAAATTCAAACTTCAAATTAATGATATATCCCATCTAATAGGTCAAAACTTCTATTTTCTTCAGTCTTACTCTAGCTTTCTTCCTTTGCCAACTAACTTTCCAAGTCAGTGCATTTGAATCATTAAGTAGTTCTTCCTCTATTTTTGTGTATATTGTTTGGAATAAGAAAGACAATTTGATTAAAATATTTTTGGAGGAACAAGTCCATTGATATTTATTAAACAGCCTTCCTCCTTCACCAATTCCCCACGTTCTCCTAACACCTCTATCTTCCATTCAGTCGACTCTTCTTCCTTATCCTCAAGTACATTCTGAAATCTTGACAGGTAAAATATCTTTTGCACTTCCGATATTATTGCTACATCTTCTGATTCTTCGTTTGAGTCTGTCTGTTGATTCCTTCCTTTAGGTCCTACATCTTTGGATCTGCTTCCTCTAATTTTCCTTCTACTTTCTGTTCCTTCTTTGTAGTCATTTTCTGAGTTTGTGAGTTTAAATTAAAAAAATGTTCTTTTATACCCTTTGTGTTATTTTTAATCTCATCATGAGCTAAGGCAATTGTCTCTTGTATTAATTTTAACAGAAATAATTTTCTGAGATTCATCAATATTTTCTTGTTGGTCTGTCAGGCTGGAGACCTTAGGGACAGGTTTTAAAGATGGTTTTTTATCATTTGAAACTAAGTATGGAGCATCCATTTTATTTTTATATGTGGTCTTTATAGTCCAGTATATTTAGGGCTTTAAAAAGTTTCAGTCAATTGTTATTTAAACTCCAATTATCCAACCAGCCTATCAGTCCGTCCTTAAGTCTCCCCTCAGCAATATAGGTAGAATTCAGATTTTTCTGTCCAGTGAGACACATATTTTTTCTGTCCAGAAAGAAAGGAGCAAGTAAAAATTGTTCACCAATCAAAGGTTTATAATCCAAGGAGTTCCATCATCTCAATCCATAATGCATGTTTCTTCTGCAGGTAAATAGCTCCATAACACAGCTCTCAAAGTCAGTTGATATTTATATTCATAGTCCATGCAGGCCAGTTTCAGAATAGTTTATTGTCTCTGCCATACAGATAAGCAGCCCTTTTCCCTTTTCCCAGGTGCAATCTTCAAAAGTGAAAGTTTCTGAAAACAACAAAAGTCTTATCTAAGTCTGGGCTTCCAGCCAAGTTTCCTTTAAGCATAATAAATTATAGTGTTGTAGTTCACCACTAGATGTCGTTGATGCCGTTTTCCAGCTTTTTATATCCAAATTTATATTAAAGCTTTTAAAAGTCTCTTTAAAAAAAAGTCCCAGAAGCACTTTTAGTTCCCAAATTGCAGAGTTATATATGTATATTAATTGCAAATTAATCTTGTAATTTTCACTGTTTCTCCCCAAGCATTTTAATTCTCCGTTTTTCTTCTCCTGAGGGAATGGGGTGGAAATTCCCCTTCCCTCTCTCATTAGGGAGGATTCTTTGCTTTGGGCGGTTTTTCCCCAGGAAAAAGTCTTGAAGTCATAAAGAGACAATAAGGTCTCACCCAGTTTCATCCACGTTGTCTGAAAGTTGCTCGTTAGTGCTTATTTTCTTCAGTTGTCAGCAGCTTCTGACTGGCCACACAAATGTAGCCAGTCTTTCCCCTGCCGGTTTGGAGGGCTTCCTCGGATCAAACAGAAGGGCCGCCGCCCTCCTGCAATCAACGAGGGTCCCCTCCTTTGTCGGCTCTTCGGGGCGACTTTCAACCCTTTTTAGGGTCCCCAGCAGGGCAAAATCGAATACGGAAGATGGAGCCCGTCTTCCTGCACCCATTCCGCCGCAATGTCAAACCGGAAGTCAGGATCTGTTTATTATACTGTTTAACCATATGATGTGATTTACAGAACATAATAACTTGATTCACATAATAGGTTTTTTAGATTGGGTTTAGATTGTTACCAGAATGCAGCTATTAGGCTTTTAAATAATAAATTATGGTTTAATGTGTTATGGCTACCAAACTAATAATGTGGTAATAAACCATATGGTATAAATCAAGCCATAGTTTTTCTCCTTAAGTTTTTCCCCCAGTTCTGCTTGAATCTTGTTGATTCACAAATGAGAATGATTACAAATACTGTAGATGAGATACAGGTTGATTTTGTTTTAACTAGTCTCAGTCCTGACACTAGTAGGAGACAACAAGATGGCATTCCACAGAAACTGCTTTGAAGCTACATTGCTGTTAGACAGTTCATAGTCTTTATTTTGAATCCAATATTAAAACCAAGCTAAAGTGGGTTGCCAAGGAAACTATCATCTTTAAAAAGAAAAGTCCTAATTAAATATGCTAATCTGGTCAGTGCCTAGATTTAGTAAATTATCTGAAGTAAAAGAAAGTCAATTCATAAAATATGACACTTAGGAAAAAATCTAAAAGCAGAAACATTTTTCCTTTTTTAAATGGAACATTACATGGATTCTGGACTCAAAAAATGCAGCTATAACCTGATATGAAAGATTATGTAGTTTTCTCAATAGAATTTACAAGATAGTATTAAGGATGTCTGTGTCTGCAGAGTAATAGTTCAGTTTGGATGCTACTTCAATTAAACTCAGTGGGATTTATTGCGAAGTAAATGTATGTAGGATTATAACCTTAAAAATCTTTAAACTATTTAAAATTAGTTTCTGGTATATTTACGTACACATCTATGTAGTTTTCCAAAATAATGGGCCCATGGGATAGAGCAGACATGTCAAACACAAGGCCCGGGGGCCGGATGCGGCCCACGAAGTGGTTTCATGTGGTCCATGAAGCCATCCTGGAAACAGTGAGGGAACGGTCCCCGCTGCCTTGGCCCTGGCCCAGGCCAGCTGGGAGC